CGCGGGCCCGGCCGAGTCCGGCTGTGCCGGTGCAAGGCTTGGGTCGGGGGGGGACCGAGGGGAGGGAAGGCGGGCAGGAGGCGGTCGCTGATCCCTCGATCCGGGAAGGGCCAGGCCGGGAAGGGGGGGAAACTGGGAGCCAGAGCCTCGGCCGGGACGATCCCTCCGCTGGCCTCTTCTCGGGACCCTTCAGCCGCTCCGGGAGACGTTTTCTGCAGCCCAGGTGCCAAAAGCAGGGCGGTCTAGACTGCGGCCGGTGGGGGGGCTGGTTTTGCGGGAAGAGGGCGGCCGTTCTTCTTGAGGCAGGCGCTGAGGAGGAGGCGGCGCCGGCTTTGCAGGGCAACCCCGTGGCTTCTTCCTCGCCCGCCTTTTCCTTCAGGGCTCTTGGCCTCCGCAACCTCTTCCCCCAGTTCCATTTCGCTACAAATCCCCTCAGACAGGGTGGACACACAAGCCGTTGGTGACCTGAAGTCCCAGAGGGGGGAAAGCAGCACTAGTGCTTCTCACGCTCTTGTGAGAGGAAGGTGGAGGCGGCCGGCCAGGTTCACCCCCCCTGGCCAGGCGGCAGGGCGTTTGTGGCGGTCTCGCCCATGCCCTCCGGCCGCAGCCCACCTGGAAGCTTGAGCGGCTCCCTCTGTCACGGCAACGTCCTGGGCGCAAGGAAAAGGCACTCTGCACATGTTCCAATGCTCTGTGGCTCCTCTGCAGAAAGAATTGGGACATTGCCACTTGGCCCCTGGGCGTTCCCTATATCTGACCTGAAATGGACGCTTGCCCTGTGTTGTCTTCCCAGCCCCATTCAGGATTCTTAGGGGGACTTCAAATAAATAAATATTTATTAATTTACAATGGACTGTAAAATCATAAAAGCACCATATACTAAATACAATAAAGACAAAATACAACAAACCCTATCAGTGGAACAAACACTCCTTTAAATTAAAAAAAAAAATCATAAAACCCATTTTGAGTCTCTCAGCACAATATTTACAATTGGTAGGAGGAAGCCTCATTCAATCTTACTCAGCTTCCTAAAACCAGAGAGGAAGGGTGACTAGTGAACCTCTCCAGGAACCTGTTCCAAAATGAAGGGGCCATGACCGTACCAGTCTAGTTGAAAGGAAGGCTCCCCCTTGGTTGTAGCTGGATGTTGTTGTGTGCCTTCCAGTTCCCAACTGATGGCAAACCTATAAACAAGTCACTCCCATGTCTTGTCCTGAACAGCCCTGTCCAAGTGCTGTGAATTCAAGGTTGTGGCTTCTTTTATGGAGTCAATCCATCTCGTGTGTGGCCTTCCTCACTGATGTCTTCAGCTTTCCCATTTAGGGCCACACCAGGGGAGAGGAGTCCTCAGCCAATCATCCTAGCCTGACCCTGATCTCTAGAACCTTTCTGATCTGTATCCCCAAACCTTAAAGTGGGTTGAGTTTCTCCCAGATAATCCTTCCATTTTGGACAGTAATGGATTGCGTTGTATGATTGTTTTTATTCTATTTTCATTATTAGTTTTAGTTTTATTTACCCTATTCTGTTTTATTTATTTTTATTTATTTTCTATCAAATCAGTGTGATTAATTCTCCCCCTTGACCTTTTGATTTTCCTTTTGAGATGAATTTGTTGGAGTAAAAGGGGGGGGGGGCTCTTAAGCTCCTGTGTAAGCCATAGAGTTGGTGGTGAAGGCTTCTGGGAGTTGTAGCCCAAGAACATCTGGAGGCCCAAGGCTGGGGACCACAGCCATAGAAAATAAAACAGGTTTCCCCTGTACAGTAATGCAATGCCCCTGCCTTGGTTGCAGAAACCGTTGAGGTCATAGTAGATGATGTTAGAAATGGGAATAGTGGGTGGATCAGCCCCACCTATGGTCATTTAATCTCACCTCATCCATTCCCTAGTACTCATATTCTTTCCTATGAAGGATGATTCCTACCTGGGAGATGATAGAGAAGCTGGAGATGTGTGTGCTCTGGCTCCCTTATTGTGTAGCCCTGTTCATTATCATTAAAGGACTCTGGTTCCTGTGCCTCTAGTTCCACATTTCTGTTCCATTTATGCATTACAGTGGTGCCCCACTGGACGATTACCCCGCTCCATGACGAATCTGCTTAACACTGAAGTTTTTGCGATCGCTTTTGCGATGTTTAGATAGGGGAATTTTGCTTAACGTTGATCAGTTCCCTGTTTCAGGAACCGATTTTTTGCTTTATGATGATCAGCAAACGGGTTTCAAGATGGCCTCCATGTTCCATTTATGCATTACAGTGGTGCCCCACTGGACGATTACCCCGCTCCATGACGAATCTGCTTAACACTGAAGTTTTTGCGATCGCTTTTGCGATGTTTAGATAGGGGAATTTTGCTTAACGTTGATCAGTTCCCTG